AATCATCTGAAAAGAAGGATGCTGTAGAAATACCCCTGCAGGGGAAAAAGGTGGCGGTAGAAGGGCTGACATACCCTCATGGATAAAGGGTAGCATCCATTTGATCCTGTACTTCTGGCACACATCTCTAAAGTTCCTACTGCTGGAATATCCAGTCTTTATATAATAGAGAAAATGCATAAGCTGTCCAGTACCTCTCCCTCCTCCCAAACCCCTAGGGTGAAATGAGGGAAAAGACTTAGTCCTGGATTCAAGCAAATACAGTAATATCCCCGTTTTACAGTTAAGGAAACTGAAACAAAGGAATTCACTGATTTGCCCAAGCTGAAACAAGGAGCCCAAGACAGAGCCAGAATTAGAATTAGAATTCATGGGTCTGTGGCTCTGACTCTTGTGCTCAAACCACTAGAACAACTGTATCACAGGGATAAAAGAGAAAGGGATTTGGGACAGGACAGAAAGAGCCAGCAAAATAAAGGGAGAGGGATTAATTCTGACAGAACTCAGAATACTAAAATTGCCATTCCTGTTAGAACTCATTTCCAGCTGCATGCTCCTGAGCTCTCTACAGAATTTCTGGAAATCAAAATACAGACCTCTCTCAATGAAACAGTTATTACAGGTTGTAAGCAAGCAACCAAAAGCCAGAACTTGCTGAAATGGACAAGTTTCTTGATCTAATTCAAAATGAAATATTGTCCAAATATATTCAAGTGGCTTAACTGGAAATTCATTAAGCCCCTAAGCAGCTGCATACTTTATAAAGGTTATCCATTAAAGACAAAACAGCTGCGTAGTTCAAGGTTGTGTGCATTAAATGTCCAGGGGCAGAAATTGTTTTTTCTGTTTTTTTGTTGCGTTTTTTTTTAATCCTTCTACAGTCTCTCAAACAGGCAAAATAAAGGAGCTGTTTTTTGTTCTTAATCTGAAGGGTTAGTTAAAATTCACAAACCATATACATCAGAGCTCAATACTACATTCCCACAGTAACTATGGAATTATTAGGCTCACTAGAAGACTTTAACCCTCACAGTCACTATATAATTTCAAACTAGTCCTGGGGCTCCACTTACCAAAGGAGGTCTGGTTTTGGAACCTGTTTTGTAATATTTAGTCTCTGGCTTGGCAGAACTTAAGTGCATCCTGGAGATAACAATCATGGCTTCCAAGAAAATGAGCACAGTGACCCCACAGATTCATATGATTTGTGAGTATTTCTGATGGCACTTTTTTGGAGTGACAGTGGTATAAATCTTACAGGCAGCAACCAGGGCCAGAAAGCCCATCCAGTGAAGACAGCCATTTACTTAGACTTAATACATACAGAATAATTAGTAATAACAACTTCATCAACAAACCAGTGTAGTATAGTGCAGTGTTCAAATACTGTGATTTCTTGGCTGAAAGCAAAATAATGAGGCAGGGTACAACAGGTTACCCAGAGTTGAGAAGGACAAACTCTTGAGCCAGCTTATAACCAAGGCAAATTCCTGCTCTTATAAAATGTACCAAGAGATCTTTATTTTCCATTCAAAAAAGACAGAAGAATAGCAAAGAAAGAAAAGTAGGAGATATGGGCATAATTAAGAACATGCCAATATACTGAAGGTGATGACAAAAAGCAGTTAAAGAAACATGAAATATATGAAACTAAACAGTTTGGTGGGTTTCAGTGATTTACTAATGAACTTATTGAAACACTACACCTATACTTGAAATATGAAGGTGAAATTTGGCTGTTCCAAATTGTGAAACTATGCAATTACTCAAATTGTAAACTCCAAAACTAAAGGGATACACACCCAAACACACCTAACCAATGGACATGTTTGCATGAACTACTGTGAAGTGAAATGACTGTTTCACACAACACAGCAAACCTGTAACATTTGTAATTTATCTCAGACAGTGGTTCCCAGCCCCGTTGGACTCGGCATCCCTCAGAAAATATCAGCTCTTAGGTTTCACTCATTTCTTAACTACAGAAACATAACAGAGCAATTCTGTTGTAAAGAACTCAGAAAGGTGACAACAGGTCTGAATGTTTTTGACACTATGGATTCCTATTTGAAATCTCCTGGTTTATCTAACAGTGCTAACATAATGTGGCATCCTCTTGCACCTTTGAAAAGATCTCCTGACACTTTGGTTGAGAACCCCTGGTCTGAGGCAATGATTCTTAATCAGGGTGCTGGGGCCCCCAGGGCTGCCATGAGATCCTTTGAAGGGTGTTGCAAGGTGTAAAGGGATAAGCAGATAAGCGCAGGCTTAGTCCTTGCCAGGTCATTCCCTACACCCACTGCCTGGCCTTGGGTAAATCATGTGATAAATAAGTTAATTTTTTAAATGGGGTGCTACTCAATACACAAAAGTGACAAAGAGGTGCCTTGAGTCTATTGAGGGGTGCCTTGAGTCTGAAAATGTTGCGAACAACTGGTCTGATGTTATGTCTACACAACAACTTTACTGTGCTGCAGTGGTGCCATCAAATACCATGTACTGCTCTGTATGGTCTGGCTTCTGGACAGGAAGCAAGGCAGCCACATCCATATGGTGCCGGTGGCAGACTAATTGTTGCTGAGTGACCACGATAGTTAGTTCATTCCTGATGCCATGCTGGGGAGGTTACAATGTTCCATTTCATGAGGCAGCTTGTGTAGAACAGTTGTGAGTGTGGAGGGTGCTGCTGCTTAATATGGTAAATCTGTGACTTAAATTCAAAATAAAAACATGAGGCCATTTCTCCTCTCTTTAGGAAACAGACTTCAGCAGATCGTAAAACCTACAAAGTGTCAAGTACTTTACCTTTGGCAAGTCTTGTATCATTTTCTTTTTATATGGATGCTCAGCTAGTCAATGAATCGGCTGAGGCAAAATTAGAAAAGGAGTCAATATACACTTTACCCCCAAACTGCTCACTCAGATATATGAATTCCCTGCCTCCTACTTGGCTTCTATGGGATAAGGTAACTCAAATGCCATAAGCTAATGAATTTTATTCCCAGCAACAGTATGAAGTTCCATGATGTGAGCTAACAAAATTTGTGAATCATTTCAAAACAAAGGGTACAGTTCACCCCAAATAATCCATTTTTATCATACAGATCAACAGCAACTTTGATTGTTGGTTATTTTACCTTGTGGTCCATACTGGCTCATTTGAGGCCCATACGTTCCACTTGAATTACTCTGCTGAAAGCTACCAATTCCAGGATGCATTTGGCCTCCAGGTGAAGGGTGCGGCGACATGGAAGGTCCAGTTTGCTGAGGTCCATACTGGGACATTTGTGGGTTCCTTTGCATACTTGCTATAAAACCTAGAAAGAGATGAATATCCAAACATAAATGTAAATACAGAACATTCACCTTATACTTCTTAAAACCTTTACATTTGTTTACTTTTTTTCTTTTTTCATTTGAGGGATTGCTTCCTTACGGAAAAAACTTCGTTAGTCATTTTCTAACAAAATATTCCCAGAAAACTGACAGCTGTAATTGTTGGCATTAGAAAACAAACAGAAACAGATATATGGGCCAAATTTTATGCTAGCATAACTCTACTGCAAGTCAGCAAAGAAACTGACTCAGTAACTGAAGTCATATAACTATAAACCTCACAAGTCTGGATGTAGATTCTAAAGAAAAAGACATTTATAAATGCTGCTGATTTAAAAATGCTTTAATTGAACTGAATGACAATTCTAAAAACTGAGGTAGTCTCCAGAAACAGAACTAATGGTAATTTGGTAATTCTTTTCACTAGTCATTCATTTTTACTAGGTGAATTGGTGGGAGCATCACTGTATTGAGTGTGTTGTCTCCCAGAGTCATCATCATCATTGGCAATCACTCGCAGCCAAGGATGATGATGCTCCACGATTGCCTTATCTGTGGGTCTGAAGATGGCTGGCAAGGATAATCTGAGATCGACAGGTTCTACTGAAACGCAGTACCATGTTTTCAAAAATAGTGCTACTAGAATATAGTGTTGCTGTATACAGTAACGTGCCAGTTCTGTTAACACTTCTATTACCTGTGCCACTTACTATAGCTCCAAACATCACTGAAATGAAGAGCAGAATACAGCAGCTACAAATAACGTGGGTTCGTATCGGTGCTCTGGATCCTTATTCCTACCATTTAGAGGTATCAGGTTTGTGACCTATGAACTGCATTGTTTTTTCTTTTCCTTTCATCAATGAAATGCATTAGTGAATCGCATTTGATTTATGATTCAAGTTATGGTCAAAGGACAAGTAAAATTCATTAAAAATGGAAAGCCTGTGAAACAACAGAACTAACCCCATAAGCTATGGAGAAGATGGGAGTCCATGGGACTTTCATTTTTAAAACATTTTTAAAAAGGAAGAAAAAATATCTTACAACTTGCTGTCCACCAAACATCTTTCACAGCTGCTAGTTTTGCAGGGCTTTTCCTGAAAGCCTTCAGCTCTTCTTTTAACTACAACTCTCAAGATGATGTGCTCAGGAGACAGCAACTCATTCTCTGCTTTCTTAAGGAAAGCTGATTTCTTTCCGGTCCTATTTACTTTTAAGCTTTGCCTTTATATTTGCCTGAAAAAAACCCTCTCAACACAACATTCTAGACTAGTTTCTGAGTTAACAGAGACGCTTTTCAATACTCCTAAAGCATATGCAAAAATCACGTGTAGTGAGGGGAAAAACATATTAGGCCCTTAAGCAATATGTCTGCCGCTGGGCTCCACACTGAAGCATGTGGAGTTTAAGGTAAAGTGCCATTTTGTTTTTTTTAAACTTCTGAAAGCAGCCTATTTGAATAAAAGTTCTTATTCATTTAAAAATTTTAGGCAGTAAAAAAAAATGAAGATACTTAGAAAAATCCTGAGTAACCCTGCTGTTAATTTTCTCCCCTTGAGTTTTTCAGGTGCTGGTGAATGAATGCCGTGTGGGATCAGTTGCTATAACTGGAAAAGTTTACTGTAGTGGAGAAATGGCATTTTCAGAACCTACAACAAAGATAGCAACATGCTGCATTCAGTCTGGTTGATGGCGTTGCAGTCCATATGCCACACTAAGGCAGCAGAAGCTTTCGTTAAACAAAAAGTGTCTCTCCTTCATGACTGTAAAAGAAAACTTTTCAAATTTGAATAGAGTATAAACTGTTGCAGTGCTGCCTTCTCAGATTTCATAAGAGCTGAAACAACAGCTCTGAAAAGGTGTCTCTTGTTTCCTCCCTCCATTAATTTCATTGTGGGATGAACATAAAAGCCTAGACACTTAACTTGACACTGTTAATTAACCCATTGCTTATTTTAGCGGTGGAATACAGGAAGGGTAAAAATGAGGTACACAGGTGAGAAGAGGAGAATGGGAACTGCTGAAGGGAAGAAATAAAGGAAGAGAAAAGGCAAAACAAGCAACAAAGGAAAAACATAGAAAGGAGTTTGGTGAAAGAAGAGGGAAAAATGGCAAAAACTGCAATGGCTTTAAGTAGCGATTTTCTCAGTGGGTGGCACTAACCATGACATACTTGCATTACTATGTTCTCAGAGAGAGAACATGGCGCAGCAGATAAAGCACTGGTCTGACACTTGGAAGAGTTGTGTTTCTTTCCTGACTTTGATACCACCTTTTTAGATGATGGCAGGCAAATCAGTTCTCTCCCACTCTCTGCCTCTTTCCCCGTCTGTAAAATGGGGATAACGATACTGACTCTTTTTTTTGAGACCTACTGATGAAAAGAACTATATAAAATAAATGTTATTATTACTATTATTATTCTTTATAGGATGTGGATAGCATTAGAGGACAGTTATTTAACCCCCATTGTGCCTATGTGGCTCCTTCATAATATATACAACCCTATTGCTAGACACTAAAACAATTACAATTATGACAACTCAAGAAAGTGTAATTACATTTTCATCTCAGTTCAAATGCATCAAAATTACAATAGGGTTCTGCCTTCTCCACATACTGAGATTGACACCCCTGATGCACAGGAAGCTAAACCATATGCACTAAAGTATGACAAGACTAACTGCTATTGCCAAAAACCAAAGGAACAGCTTGAAGACGGATAAATATCAACTGGGAAACTCCACATTTCCAGACAGGGCAAACTTTATGCAGGTTTAGCAGCTCTGGTTTAACACAGTCTCCTGCATTTTAAACTAGTTTATTTTACTGCACAGACAAAACTTATTACAATTAGTCTATGATGAGAAGATACCACTGTAACTAATTTTAAAACCTTACATAATAGTTTGAATGAAATATATATTCATATTTCACAACCCCCCCTCTCCCAAGTGCATCACACTCCTGGGATCCATTTCAATGAAACATTCTGTTCCACTATGAGTCTTTTATCATAAAGACAGTAAACTCACTACTATATCCAGTAAGCAAGTAAAATGCACAGGCGTTCTATTCACAATGGTCTTTTTAATCTATGTGACATAAGTTTCCAACCACTATGCTAGCTACAAATTTTCCTCAGGTCAGCTATTATAACTGCCATTGAATATCCTGGGGATGGATAACAGAGGTAACAATGATTTGTATTGGCAGTAGTGATTTCCATCACCTGATGGAGATAGGATATGTGAAGATAAGTTTCTGTTATATCTGTTGATATCCTGAAGAGACCAAAACAGATAATGGAAGCCAGAACATCTCTAACCATTATTACTTCTTCTATCAACCTGTTCAGTTTTTAAAGGTCTGGGCTAGACTCGACAACCTCATCATCTTTGTTTTCTACAAAGTAACCAGAATAGAATCTAGAGAAGATTTGGGTTTCAGGGACTGGTTTTATAGTCCATGGTTCTAGGAGGTGTGAAATCTCTTTCAAGAAGGTGGGTTTTTTTTGTTGTCATTTCTTGAGACTGGGAGGGGATGAAGTAAGGATGTGAACAAGTCTGGAAGTTAAGACAGCACCTCTTTTGTCACATTATATTTTCCTTCCATCTATCTGAGGTCATACTGAATCATGGCCTTAGACTGTCTCTCCAGTAACAATGACAAATTGGACAGGAAAGAAGGATCGGACCTACATCCTGATCTGGTTTCTTCTGGAATAAGTGGAGTCTGCTCTTCAGGAGCTAGTATGTGGGTAAGAGGAGCCATGAGAACAAACTGGAGTACTTGCAGGAAATTCAAATATTTTGGACATTGAAGTTCTTATAATAAAAACAGAAAACTGCATCAATGTTAGGACCCTTATTGCGAATGGCAGGGAGCAGCTGGCATACATGTATTTTTTGCATTATTTACGCAAATTTTACCTTGGTGCTCAACTTCAATTTATAAGCAACACAATAAAGAAAGTTATTTAATTGTTTAACAATAGATTTAAAGTTTTGGGGTTTTTTTTCAGAGTGGCAGGATTACATCTAAGGGGTATTGAGGCAGGTAAATAACTAGACTGCATCTGATTGATCAGTTTGTGTAAAAACAGTTGGCTTCTTTTGGAAACTGCTGCAAAACAGCAGGAAGTTAAGCTTTATAAATCATAATGGCAATGTATTTGCCAATGGAAAAAAATCTATCCCCCTACCTCAATGTCAGTGATAAAAAAGGAACAAGTGATAATTTACTCACTACCAAAACAAGGATTTCCTTGCCACAGGAAAATGTACAAATGGAGTTTGGCAAGGCTAAGTTATTTTAAATCTAGGTAAACAAAGTAGAGCTAGCTGCCTGGAGAATGTTCTCATGTTTATACTTAAATTCTATTTCTTTAAAGAATTACCTTTTTATGAAGTACAGTTAAAGCCTCTAAGCTGCCTTTGCATTTTACAGGTTACAACTGAGAAAGCATCATAGTATCTACTAAGAACTATACAGGTAACTTATAATTAACTCATTTGTATATCTAAGCAAAACATACACATGAAGTTTTAAAAGGGCTAGATATTAAGTTCTCTCTTCCTATTGCTATTTATAAATATAATATTACTTTTATACACACATACATATGTGTGTGTGTGTATAAATTGTATATATAAAAAACTTCTATACACTCTGCACATCACTGATATTTATATATAACAGATTAACAAAGACATTGAAAATTTTACTTTTTCTCTTAATGTTGCTGTGTGTATATACTTAATAGTGTAATGTAAGGTACTAGAACGGTGATTTTCAACCAGGACACTACAGCATCCTGCAGTGCCTCGAGATCCTTTCAGTGGTGCCATGGGATGCCATGCAATGTTTTTGATTTGCAAGAATCAAATAAGAATGATTCAAATAAGAAACCACAGCATTAAAAATATCTGACCTGTTGTGCTTTTTCTGAGTTTGCTGCAATAGAAAAATTGCCTTA